TGATTTATTGTAGAGATGAGGTCTTACTGCCCAGGCGGGTCTCGAACCCGCGGGCTCAGGCAATCCACTCACCTCAGCTTCCCAAAGGCGCAGGATTACAGGCTGAGCCACCAAACCCGGCTTGTCAATGCATTTTTTAAGCACAATTTGCTTTCCACTAAATCTCTAACTTCCTCCTCCAACTACACCCTTTATGAGTAACATAAAATATGCCTCTCACTTGACAATTTAGTATTAATCTGAGTTTTGAGCTCTTCATATGCAAAGATTATACTCTGGTTAGAGTCCAGTATTTCCAATCCTTAGTCATTGACAAGCCATGACTTGCCAATTCTGGTCCTGATCTCAGTCTCTAAAAAGGAAATTGCCATTTCTCTAGTATCAGTTTTGTGTGTGGGGGTTTTTTTGTTGTTGTGCTGAGTCAGGGTCTCACTCTGTCACCCAGGCTAGAGTGCAGTGGCACAGTAATCACGGCTCACTGCAGTCTCAGATTCCTGGTTTCAAGTAATCTTCCTGCCTCAGCCTCCTGAAGTGCTGAAATTACAGGCATGAGCCATCATTCCCAGCCTCAATTATCAGTTTCTAATGGCACTGACATAACTTAGTCAATTATAAATTTGCCTGATTTAACCGGGCTCGGTGGCTCAGCCTGTAATCCCGTGCCTTTGGGAGGCTGAGGTGAGTGGATTGCCTGAGCCCGCGGGTTCGAGACCCACCTGGGCAGTGAGACCTCATCTCTACAATAAATCAAAAAATCAGCCGGGCGTGGTAGCGCATGCCTGTAATTCCGGCTACTCAGAAGGCTGAGGCGGAAGGATCGCCGGAGCCCAGCAGGTCGAGGCTGCGGTGGCCGGGAGCGGCCACTGCACTCCAGCCTGGGCGACAGAGTGAGACTCCAACTCGAAAAAAAAAAAAAAAATTTTGGCCGGGTTCAGTGGCTCAGCCTGTAATCCCAACCACTGTGGGAGGCCGAGGTGAGTGGATTGCCTGAGCCCGCGGGTTCGAGATCCGCCTGGGCAACTTGGCAAGACCTTATCTCTACAATAAATCAAAAATTAGCTGGGCAAGGTAGCGCATGCCTGTAGTTCCAGCTACTTGGAAGGCTGAGGTGGAAGGATCGCCGGAGCCCAGCAGGTCGAGGCTGCAGTGGCCGGGAGCAGCCACTGCACTCCAGTCTGGGCAACAGAGTGAGACTCCGACTCAAAAAAAAAAAAAAAAAAAAAAAAAAAAAAATTTGCCTGATTTACTAAGATAGTAAAGAAATTTCTGTTACATAAGAAAAACAGGGAAGGTGATATTAGAATAGATAATAGATTGGGATGGGGTGGTGACAAAATAGCTAACCTATCTTTAGGATTTTAATTAGATTTGAAAAACAAATATATCACTGCTCTTTTGAAGTCATGTACTTGTGTACTTTGGAGAGAAAAAGGTCACATAAATCCAAAGTTATAGTATATTTGATTTGATGTTACTAAATTCTTCACAAAACCTAGCATGGTACTTCTCATTTTATGTATATGGAGAATACAAGTTTAAAAACATGGATGAAAAGAAGCCAATAAAATGCCTAGGAGTTTGTCATTTTAATCTTAATTCCTTTTTATACACTCCAGAAAGCAACATTTGGATAAAGAGTATATGCTCCTCTAGAATAATTCTTTTTTTTTTTTTTTTTTGAGTTAGAGTCTCACTCTGTCGCCCAGACTGGAGTGCAGTGGCCGCTCCCGGCCACCGCAGACTCAACCTGCTGGGCTCCGGCGATCCTTCTGCCTCAACCTTCCGAGTAGCTGGAACTACAGGTGCGCACTACCACACCCAGCTAGTTTTTGATTTATTGTAGAGATGAGGTATCGCCAAGTTGCCCATGTGGGTCTCGAACTCGCGGGCTTAGGCAATCCACTCACCTCAGCCTCCCAAAGGCGCGGGATTACAGGCTGAACCACCGAGCCTGGCTTTGGAATAATTCTAAAACCCAAACTTAGCTCTGAGACATTGTGCATCCTCCAATATTCCCTTGCTCCTGAGAGCAGTCTAAAAATGATGAATAGCTTGGATCTGTCTTAAATGTATCCAAGAGTTTGACAGCAAGAACCCACTTAGCCTGCCTTTTAGAACATGCTCTGTACTCCAGAACTGTTCCCAGTATCTCTAGAATTTTTCCTGGACAAATCCCAAAACCCGATTACTCTTTGGAGTATCTATGAAAAGGGAAAACAAGATGTTTCCTGAAGTAGATTTTTAACACGACTTCAAATAATTTTCCTTGGTTTGCTCAAGGAGTCAACAACATGACTAAGATTTTAGATGACTGGCCTCACTCAGTTCTTGCACTAATCTACTAAGCACATACGTAGCATCTTCTACAAGGGTCCTTCCTTTCTTACTCATGAAGGTTCCAGGCCAGACATGAAGCCACAGCAGAAAAGCAGGAGGCCCTTTCTGATGGGCCTAGAGCAAGATGCACCTAGTGATTAGGCAATTCTAGGCTCTTCAGAACAATACCGGGAGAAAAGAAGACTAAGGACATGAGTTGAAGGAAGATAAAAAGTTTACATTCTAGACTAGCCATTCACTGCTTGAAAATTAATAGGAAGCCAGGCTTGGTGGCTCAGCCGGTAATCCTGCGCCTTGGGAGGCTGAGGTGAGTGGATGGCCTGAGACCGCAGGTTCGAGACCCGCCTGGGCAACTTGGTGGGACCTCATCTCTACAATAAATAAAAAACTAGCCGGGCATGGTAGCGTGCGCCTGTGGTTCCAGCTACTTGGAAGGCTGAGGTGGAAGGATTGCCGGAGCCCAGCAGGTCAAGGCTGCGGTGGCCGGGAGCAGCCACTGCACTCCAGTCTGGGCGACAGAGTGAGACTCCAACTCAAAAAAAAAAAAAAAAAGAGCCGGGCTCGGTGGCTCAGCCTGTAATCCCGTGCCTTTCGGAGGCTGAGGTGAGTGGATTGCCTGAGCCCGCGGGTTCGAGACCCGCCTGGGCAGCAAGACCTCATCTCTACAATAAACCAAAAAATAAGCCGGGAGTGGTAGCGCACACCTGTCGTTCCAGCTACTTGGAAGGCTGAGGCGGAAGGATCGCCGGAGCCCAGCAGGTCGAGGCTGCGGTGGCCGGGAGCGGCCGCTGCACTCCAGTCTGGGCGACAGAGTGAGACTCCAACTCAAAAAAAAAAAAAATTAATAGGAATCTAGACAAACGAAATACACATGAAAGAACAGGAACCATTCAGTCTAAAAGGAGAAAACAGTAGGGAAAAAAAGCCAATCTGCTAACAAAGATAAGATAGTTGAGGAGAAAGAATAAATGACTCCCATTAGTAAAATTCCTATATCAAACTGGAGTTAAAGGCAGTAGCAACCCTTTGGCTAGAGGTAGTCTTTAATTTTTTTTGAGGAATTATTAAACCAGTTTGAAGCCAATTGTGCCAAATTCTAAACAACAGGCAAAAAGAAATGCCTACTCTAGCTGTAAGAGTGCACCAGACGTGAGGAGGCCCTGGTTAGAGAAGAAGTTCAGATCCTCCATGAACCCAGGTACTCACCTCCCCACTTAGTGGTATCTCAATCAGCTTTGGCTTCACATCTATCAGGTAGAAGGTTCGTGACAGGAGCAACAGGGAAGGGGGGACATTCTCCTTCAGGTGGAGGTCCTGCCACTGGGGAATGCGAGGGAAATAAAACAATCAGAATGTCAGAGCTGGAAGTGACCCACAGTCACCTGCTGCTTTCCTCACTGAGCTTCCCTGCCATCACCCACCACTCACAGTCATGGCAGAAGAAAAGTAAGAATGCCAGCCTCCTGGCTTCTGCTCTGGTACCTCGCTACCTCCCTCACTGTAGTGGGATCATTCTCAAAGTCAGAGGGAGAATTCAATTGAACTCTCAACCCAACTGTACATCAATGTGCAGTTAAGTATCTTCTCTTGGACAAAAAGTAGATAATGTGAAAGAGTAAATCAGCCTCACTAATAACCAAAAAAAAAAGAAAAAACCACATTAAAATGAGAATGACTGTAATCCAACACTTTAGGAGGCCGAGGTGAGTGGATTGCTTGAGCCTGCGGGTTCAAGACCTGCCTGGGCAACTTGGAGAGACCTCATCTCCACAATAAATCAAAAATTAGCCGGGCGTGGTAGCGCACACCTGTAGTTCCAGCTACTTGGAAGGCTGAGGCGGAAGGATCGCCGGAGCCCAGCAGGTCGAGGCTGCAGTGGCTGGGAGCATGCCACTGCACTCCAGTCTGGGTGACAGAGTGAGACTCCAACTCAAAAAAAAAAAAAAAGAAATGAGAATGAGATGTAAGTTTTCAAGTAGCAAAATTGGCCAAGCTTTTAAAATATATATATTTTTAGGTTAATAATACATGCATGACAAAATTCAAAAGGTAAATAAAATGTATTCATAGCTTTGTGTAGTGGCAGTATCATAGCCAATTAGGTTTCTCCAAGGTGGAGTTATTGCTAGTTGAAAGCCTTTCAATACCCTGTTGTGAGGACTTACAACATGGTCAATTTTTGACAGTCTCTATAGAGATTGAACTTTTTTTTTTTTTTTTTTTTTATTGAGTTGGAGTCTCACTCTGTCGCCCAGACTGGAGTGCAGTGGCTGCTCCCGGCCACCACAGCTTCGACCTGCTAGGCTCCGGCGATTCTTCCGCCTCAGCCTTCCAAGTAGCTGGAATTACAGGCATGCGCTACCACGCCTGGCTGATTTTTTTTTTTTATATTTATTGTAGAGATGAGGTCTTGCTGCCCAGGAGGGTCTCAAACCCATGGGCTCAGGCAATCCACTCACCTCAGCCTCCCAAAGGCACGGGATTACAGGCTGAGCCACTGAGCCCAGCTGAGATTGAACTTTTTAAAGTAGTCAGTAAAAATAAGTCTGCCTTCTACCCCATTCTCTAGGCCCAAGAAGCAAGCACTAGTACCAGTTCCTTATATAATCTTCCAGAGATATCACAGATAATCCTGAGCATACACAAATATGTATGCATATTTATTCTTTTTCTTTGGCTAAAGGGTGACATACACTTTTGTCCTTTGCTCTTTTGTTACTGAAATATCTTAGAAATTGATTCCTATCAATAGGTGTAGAGCTGCCTCCTTTTAAATCATCTGTAAGAGATTTCTTTAAATGGAAATGCCGTAATTTATTTGATTATTCTGGTAATAAACTTAAGACTGTTTCCAGTCTTTGGCTATCATAAACAGTGCTGTAATGGATAATCTTGAGGATGTCATTTTGCACATGTGTAAGAATATAAGATACATTCCTAGAAGTGAATTTGTTAGGTCAAATAGTATGCATTTTAAATTTTTGAAAAATATCTATTGCCAAATTATTCTCTATAGATGTTTTCACCAGTAATGCTCCTTTCCCCATACTTTTTTTTTTGAGTTGGAGTCTCACTCTGTCACCCAGACTGGAGTGCAGTGGCCGCTCTGACCACCGCAGCCTCGACCTGCTGGGCTCAGGCGATCCTTCCACCTCAGCCTTCCAAGTTGCTGGAACTACAGATGCATGCTACCATGCTCAGCTAACTTTTTATTTATTGTAGAAATAAGGTCTCACCAAGTTGCCTGGGCTTGCCTCACTTAAGGAAATCTTAATCTTATTCAAAAT